AATGATCTGAAATCGAATCTTCTTAGTGTCAGTGTGAGACCAACCTCTTAAAGTGAGGGGACTCTTCGTGCACAGTAAGCAAATGTCTAGCATTTGTATTCAGTTGAGTTATCATGAGTTATATCCTCTCAGATGCTTTGTCGGGCCAGGCGTAAGGCCCTTGAGAGTGGAGATTCAATGTTTTGGAAACAATATATATGTCGTCTGCATCGTCCCAGCTACTTCAACGTACGGCTGGTAGCAGTCAAACGTCAATCGTTATATCATGCACTAGGGCGCACAATGCATTGTGCGCCCTGCCCGGCCCAAAACGACGTCGTTTTGCTAAGTTGTGTAGGGAGTTGACGCGACGTGATTTGTGTATTCTATTATACAATTATGTAAATTTTATTATACAATTATGTACATTCTATTATACAATTATGTACATTCAAAACATGAAATTTTTTTTAAGAGTTAAGAGTTTATGTGTATTATGTTAAGAATTTATGTGTATTATATATCATGTTAGATTATGTGTATTAACCTTTCAAAAAAGATTATTTGTATTATGTTAGGAATTTGTGTACATTCTATTATACAATTATGTACATTCTATTATGCAATTATGTACTTTCGAAACATGGATTTTTTTTATTTTAAAAAAAAAATTAACAACAGATACGAAAAACGAAATTTTTGGAAAAAGAAAGAAACAAAACGACATCGTTTTGGAATAGGACGCACAATGATTATGCACCCTGGGGCATGATATAATTTGCCGTCAAACGTTGCATCTTCATTATTACAACACTTCGCTAATCAAATCTCATTACAACGTTAATAATTTTATTTAATGCACCAACCAACAAATTAAAACCTTCACGTGGCTCATCTATAGCCATTATATATAGTATATAATTTTGTTCAATCTACTACCCTTTTTTTTTTAAATTACAATCTACCACCTAAGAACCAACTAAATTGACCGGTCCAACTATATATAGGATATTCTGTAGCTTGGCATGCTGAAACGAAGACTTGACCAAAGCCATCATAATAATAATAATAATAATAATAATAATAATAATAATAATAATAATAAAACTAAACAAAACGAAAAGCAACCCCACCCCCAAGGGTTAATTTATTTTAATCATTCCGCTAATTTTTTCACTTTTGGTTCTCAACATTAAAATTGTCAAACTTTCACTTTTAGTTCTCAACTTTAAATTTGTTCAATACTTTCTGAATCCACCTAAAGAATCAATGATTCCACTACTACGGTTTGATCCTGTAACTATCCATTTGGAATGACAGCCTTTTTTTTTTTCACTTTTAATCATTGACTTTAAAATTGATTAAATTTGATATTTGACTTTAAAAATTTGTAAATTTTAATCATAATATAATTAATTTGGTATCTAACAATAATTGAAAGTGATAAATCTTTTAAAAATAAAATGCGAAATCTATTCAATTTTTAGTCCAACAGTATATATATATACACGGAGTATATAATAGTTGAGAAGTTAATATTGACATTAAACCTTCAATTATTTTCATGCGGGCAATAAATGACAAATTGGCCAAAAACTGGAAGAAAATGTGGTCATTATTACAAGTTTTGAACACACAAAAGTGAGATATCCCAATTCAGCAGCCTAAGATTGCGATGGCCTTGTAGGCTAGCCTTTGCCAATTCCAATACGCAGAGTTAGTTGTTCAAACATTGCTAAGAATATGAAATACTAATCTCATTTTATCTGTCATATTTATTATTTGTTAGTCAAATTAATTTTTTTTGTTATTTTTTAGTATTTTTTAATTATCTTTAAATATAATTTTTTGTATTTAATAGTACTTTTATTATAGTTTTTAAATATATAAATTTCGTATATAAATATTAAACTTAATATTATAAAAAATTAAACTAAAAATAATATCAGTCAAATCTCGTTAATTGAACCAGACACTTGTGAGAGGGAGGAAGTATATACCTGGTAAAGGGTGTACCATCAATACCAACTTTCCCAATAATGATTGAAGACCAGTCAAACTAAAATACTGCCTTGATTTTTCTTTAGCAATATATATAATGATTGGGGAACTTCAATAATGTTATATAGGTGTTAAATTATTTTATGAAAATAAAATTTCATAAAATATAACACGCATTCTTAATGCGATTGTCTTTGACATTATACTATTTTTTCCCCATAATGACAACCCGTCATTGTAAATATTTGTAGTACATTTGAATGAAAACATTTTTAGAAAAAAATGAAAAAATAGAAGTTGTGTTCGATTGAGTTTTGTTTTCCATTTCAACTTTTCTACTGACCGTTCGAAAATAGTATTCCATTTAGGGAATAAGTTGAAATTCACAAATACTATTCCTGTTGTCAACTATCGTTATCATTTTAAATGAGTGATTATAGATTCAAATTTCAGTGGTGGTAGTTTATATTTTTTGGACTGAAAAAAGTTTGAAAAGTATAGAACAGATACTACCTTAGCTTGTAAGGAATCATGAGTAATTAAAAAAAATAAAAATTACCCTGCTCTTTTTTTGTTTCAGGAATATCAAAAATTGGTTACCTCTTTATTTGACATTCATGTATTTTTAGATTTATTATTCTATCAAAATAAGATGTCGAATTATTTTTCATTTTACTGATTTTTTTATAAAGTAATAAAATTACGTCAACGCGTCATCCATGAAGCATATATCATGGTACTCCTTTCATTTCAAAATATAAGAAATATTTTTTTTCTCAGACTACGAGGTGTACAGCTCTAATAATCTCGTACCATATTCAGACTAATCCTCATTTGTACCGGCTCCGGCTCAATTAAGGGGCAAAGTGTTGGCCAAATTAGTTTTTTCATACGAGAAGGGATTCGAACTCCCGACCTCTCTTAAGAGACAAAAGTACACGGCCACTCACACCAACCAAATCAGTTAATATTAGAAATATTAATGTTTGTCTCGAATTTTAAATAAACAAATAAAATAATAATTTAAGAAAAAAGTGATATTTTTTAGTAAAAATAAAATACTTGTTAATAAAAAAAAATTAAAAAAAAAAAACTTCAATGAACATGTAATACTTTTTTATTGGAAATGCAATACTTTTCAAAGTAAAAGTAATCTTTTTCAGTATGTGAAAATGTAATACTTTTTAAAGAAAAAATAATATTTTTTAGTGAAAATGTAATGCTTTTCAATCAAAGACTATTATATTTCAATGATCTTGTAATACTTTTCAATAAAAATGTAATACTTTTTCATATAAATATAATACTTTTCAATATTAAAAAAAATTAACTTTTGAAGAAAAATAATAATAAATTTCAACGAAAATGTATTAACTTTTAGTAGAGATGTACTCGAAAATGCATTAACTTTTAGTAACTTTTAGTAAAGATGTATTAACAGAGTAATTTTGAAACAATATATTGTACGGAGTAATATTATTTTAAAGAAAATATAATATTTCATACTTTTTATTCAAATACGAATACCCTGTACTTTTTAATTTTTTTGAATGCTACTGACTCTATTACAATGTAGTAATACCATGTACTTTTTAATTAATATATAACACTTTTCATTCTTCTATGATTAGGGCATTCGTGGCTTCATTGATGGCATTTAAGGCTAGAAAAACGTTTTTTCTTAAATTAACTCTTCTTGTACATGTATAATTAGCCGGAGAATACTTAGACAAAGGGTTTACAATACTGAATACACACGAGAGTATTTTTGAGTTATTTTCCGACAATCAAGCCATCTTTTTTCGATAGTGTTGGTCCATGCGACGAACCACTTTGATAATCATAAAATCATACTTCATCTATCTCATTTTAACTGTTTTACTTACTATTCATTAGTCAAACCTCTTTGTTTATTATTTTACTTATTTTTTGTATTTAATAATACTTTTTATATTTAATATTATGAAAATTTGAATAAAAAATAACCTTTATCAAATCTTGTTAATCCACGACAAAATTATAGAAGATACGGAGTACAATATTATAGAAGATAAAAAAAAAAAACTTGCGAACCAAAATGTTGATTTCAGATCCGGAGACTTTGGAGAGATTGAATCACCTCACGTGAACCGATTGACCTCATGGAAAAGAAAGGACATTATGAAAGTGAAAGGCTTGAATGAGCATCACATCATGTCACGTGCTGTACTTATAACAATATTTTCTGTTTTCCAAAATGGAAATATATGAAAAAAAAATAATATGTATATTTCTATTTTATACTTCTAACTTTTATTCTCACACATAAAATTTTAAAATATAGACATTTGTTTTGAAAACCACATGAAATAAAGTAGTTTATCGGTGTTCGCCACATCAAAGGAGTAAAAATTTGAAAGTCTAGGTAATAAAACTCAATGAAAAAAACAAATAAAATTGAAAAGTACTCTCCCCGTCCCATTTTATATATCTGATTCGACTAACGAGGCTTGATTGGAGTTATTTTTAATTCAAATTTTCATAATATTAAGTTTAATGTTAGTATACAAAATTTATATATTTAGAAACTACACTTTTTTTGGTTACCCAAGGGTATCCCTCCCGCCGATAGTCAGAAAACTAATTTTCGCATCCCTACTGTTAGCACACTAAGTGGTAGGGAACTGGCCAAATGATTTGTTCCATTCACATGGGTGGGATCAAACCCCCAACCTTATGCTTAAGGAACGAGATGCTGAACCACCACGTCAACCATGTTAGTTTTTAGAAATTACACTAAAAGTACTATTAAACACAAAAAGAATAAAGAGTTTGTTCGACCGATGAATAGTAACTAAGAGTGTAAGACAGATAGAATATTATATAAACTCACATTTTACTCATAACTTTTACTTCCTCTTATTAATGTTTGATGTAGACATTTTTTCTAAAACTCACATGATAAAAACATTATATCCTTGTTTGTCATGTCATGTCAATGAATAAAAGTGAGAAGTAGAATTTAGGAGTAGATGTAGTAGAACTCAACAAAATTACTTCACTGACTTTTTGTTACAGCTACAATTACACAACACAACTTTACATTTACTGACTAGACTAAGCTAGATAGTCCGCAGTAAAATTACTCATTAACCACTCCATTATTACTCACGTAATTTTAATTAATTTAATTTAGACTCGAATTATTGCTCGATGTCGGGGCTACATTATAATCCACAAAAGGATAATCGCACAAACAATCATCGGTCAAAGGTTCAAAGCAATTCTCGGAAAGAAGGTGAAGATACTCATCGTACACTTTTTCCAGCAAGCCATCACTGGTGGGGCCCGAGCACTTGGGGGAGGAGAGATCACAGCCGTCCAGAATTTGATCACAGAAGTCCACGTCTCCTCCTAGCTCATACAAGTGCCACGGGATGAACGGCGGCGGCGGCGGCTCCGCTGTAGTACCCTGTAGTACTACTGCTTTGTTGTCAACCTCGCCGGAGCTGGAGGAGACGCTCCCGGCGACGTCTTCGAGGCTGTGGTTCCTCGAGAACGCCGGCGACGGCGAGAGCCTGATGGGCTTCGGAGCGTAAACTTTTGTCCTCTTCTCCGGCGCCGTCGCCGTCTGATCGGAGTCTTGCCGGGGAGATTGTTCGTCGTTTCTAGCCTTCTTGTGCTTCTTTTTAGTATTGGCGGTGAGTTTCTGGGGATTTGGGCGGGGTTTCGCCGGCTTTTTCTTGGAGTCTTTGGAGTGGCGGGGCTTGGGTTCGATCCCGGCGCTCTTGAGCTTCTTGAGGAGATGAGTGTTCCAGTAGTTCTTGATCTCATTGTCCGTTCGACCTGGCAACCTGCCTGCAATGAGGGACCACCTGTTCCCCAGGAGTGAATGTAGCCGCACGATCAAATCCTCCTCTTCCTGGCTGAAGTTCCCCCGTTTGATCCCCGGCCTCAAATAGTTCATCCATCTCAGCCTGCAACTCTTCCCACACCTAAGCAACCCTGCAAGTCAAAACAATTCAAAAGGTTAAATATTTAGTGGGACCGGATTTGTGGAGGTAGTAAATCACGCTGACTCAACAACCAATTAAGTGGGAGGACCAGTGCGAGCCGACGCCCACAAAAAGCCCTAGGGTGGGAGGACCAGTGCGACCTAATGCCCACAAGAAGCCCCAGGTAGGAGGACCACTGAGACTTAGTGCCTACAAGAAACCCATCACATTTTGTAAGGCGGGTGCTCGTTTTACCCGCCCAACAATCCCGTCAAAAGTTATAATTGATAACAAATGCGTGACTTTATTTCTTTATACATATGTAGTAGTCATCGTCACTGTCACGTTTCGTAAGACAAGTTGTTAAATTTGACTCTTTGTTTTTATTTAATAATAATAGCTGGATTTGACCATTCAAGCCTCGCCCAACAAATGAGATAATAATAATGTGCAATTTGGAAAAGAAGGAAAATACTTATATATACTCTTAATTTCTATTCTTTAACTTTTACTCCCACACACACACAAATCTTGATGTAAACACTTGTATTGGAATTCACATGAAAAAAGTGACTTATCAGTGATCACTCCTACACACAAAAATCTTAATCTAGACACTTGTATTGGAACCCACATGAAAAAAATAACTTATCAGTGTTCGTCACATAAAGGGAGGAATAAACTTTGAGAGTCCATGTAGTAAAACTCAAGAAAGAATGAAGAAGAAAAAGAGTATGTATAGGGTACCAGCTTTCTTGGGCAAAGATCTCCATTGGCCTTCTCCATGGTGTTGAATGTGATTAGTGAGCAGCAAATCCTCCTTGGCAGACCAAGGCCCTTTTCTGAGCCCTTCTTTGGAGCAGCAAGGAGCTCTTCCCATGTCTGAATCTGAGGGAGAAAAGTAATGAAGATGGGTTGGGTGGAGAATGAATAAGAGAGGAGGGTGAGAAGTATATAAGGGAGGGAATAGGAGTTCACAACTCCACAAGTTTGTGCACAAGTCGTGCTGCTTTTCAAGCCACCAGACTAATGGAGAAGCATTAAATACTGGTTAAGAATTTTAGAAAACGACACAATAATTTTCCAGCTGTCCTGTTTTTTTTATTTATTTAAATATTATTATTGCACAAATATACAAAGTCTTGGGATTCAACTTTTCATATTGCACATTCTGCACGCGGTATTTTATATGGAATATTTTATTATTTTGCAAATTGCCCAGTATTTTTATCAATTATTTTGTCAACTCCCAATAAAGTTTGTACCTTTTTGTTGTTGTTATTATTGGAGTTGTATTGGTAATTGATAAAGATACGTATCAACATGATATGAATTACACATCTCTGTAGTTTGATAATAGTGATAAGAAGAGACATTTTTAAGGAGTTAATACTGCAAATGACAAATTATATCATGGATCTGGGCCCACAGTAATACACAAAAATTGACTTCATAAAGTATAGAATTCATGTTTGTATTGCACAAAATTTATGGAACATGAATTATGTGTATTATGTTAAGTGTTCACATGTCATCAATTATATAATACACAAAATTCATATTCATAATGCACAGAATTCATGTTCATTATATCGTGTTTATTTGTATATGTATTATAAGCATAAATTCTGTGCATTATAAACATGAATTCTGTGTATTAGACTAGTGTCCACAGTGAATTGTGGATCCTGGTGCACGTTATAACCATTGACTGCAAATAGTCGCCTGAACAATTGGGTTACTACTACTTGTTTTAGCTTTGAATTATCAATTTGACCCAATAACGTACCTTAAATTTTAATTTTCAACCGAAAGTTGTCATTTGTTAATAAAAAAAATACATTGAAAAATGATTGTAAAAAGCTAAGGCATTCTGTCGATCCATAGCATATGATGTCTATTAGGATTCTGTATTATTTGTTTTAGAATTTCATTTCCCTCTCAGTGCATTATTGCAAATCAATCTTTTATCATTTCCGATATGTATTTTGTAAATTTGATTGATCAATATAAATTTCTTTCCGAAACTATTGTTTTCATTTAGTATAGCGGACTAAACGATCCACACTTAACTTCCTCCTATTGCATCGTCTCAGATATTACCTCTACAACCCAACCCAAATAAATATCTTTAAGTTGGGTCTTGTTCCCTTTCTTCGCGATCAAAATCTCAAGCGTCAACACATTCTAGAAGATCCAACTTTTAGGACACCCTTGTTCTTGAGATCTGTGATTTTTTAAAAATTTTATTGTATTTCTTTATTTATCTTACTCCTCATTAATAAGTACAATATTTTAATTAATAAACATTACAAGTTCGTCCTATGATTAATTAAGTTAGAATAATCAGTTTTGGGTGAATTTATATGAATTAATTAATGATTTAACATTAAAGTGAGTTCACATTAAACATTTACAGTCTTCAAAAAATGTAACTGTAAAGAATTGTTATTTGCACAATTGCACATAAAATTTCTTTTAAGGTTGGCCAATGGCATATGCAACATTGCTTGAAAGAGTGGCAAACTATAGACTTAGACCATGTTTATCGTTACAACTCTCCCAATTGCAATATAACAAGGATGATCAAGTGGACTTTTAAAAAAAAATAATCAATGGTATTTACAAGCTTTCAAAATATGAAATAAAAATGCAAATACTATTTGTGTGTACTTAAAAAAAAAAACTTTTACAATAATTGTGTGATTTTTTCTATTTTAGTAATAAATTTAATTAAATACTAATAATTATTATTATATTATATTTTGAGAGTGAGTTAGAATTATATAGATATAGAAAAATAATTGTAAATTGTAAATATGTTGATATGGCAAAGTAAGAAAATTTTGCAAAGTATAAAGGTAATCTTATGCCTTCAAGTTAAATAGTACAACAACAAACTTTGTGCATCATATGTTTTTATCTTTTAGGGAAAAAAGTATTTTTAGTCATTGAGTTGTTTCACAATAACTTACTCAATCATTGAATTTGTTTCATAGTCACTTTTTCAGTTTTCACCATTTAATAATTGTTACATTGGTGGTTCTTTTTCACCCATAACTAGATGAAACTTTTAAAATTTAATAAGGAAAATTGTCTTTTTTTTTGTCCTTGAATTCCTCTAATAGACACTTCGATCACCTTCAAGTCTTAGGTTTGTGACTTTGCAATTTTTTTTTTCACCCATAACTAAATAGAAATGTTAAAACTTAACAAAAGTTTTATAAACCTTAAAATTAGAAGGATAATTTTATAATTTTACAATGCTTTTTTTTTTTTTTTTTTTGAAGGTCAACCAATGTGGTTGTATTTATAGATAAACTGAGATAGAGTCAGCTGAGACATTGTCCCAATACATAACTGTTGTAAATTGAAAAGCAGTAGAAGCTAACGTATGTGCTAAATAATTCTGCGATCTAGGAATAAAACTAACTGAAGAGGAAGTAAACGTAGATATGCATGCTCTGCATCCATCAATGGCATAACCAATATACGAATGATGTGGGGCTCCCGTCGAGGTTAGATAGCTCTGAAGTGTCTGACAATCAGTGTATAGTTCTATAGACCGTTCACCACGTGCTCGTAGCCATGACAAGGCTTCCTTACACGCATACGGCTTAGCCATAAGTGGGGAAAAACAGCTCGGTAGCGGTGCACTAAAGGCTGAAATATATCTACCATCTGCATCCATAAGTAATGCCCCAACCGTAGCCGAGTTCGCTGCATGGTGATATCGCGCATCGACGTAACATCTCCTTGGTTGTGTCGCTGCGTGGAGTACCCCAGATGGTTGCGGCAGTGCATGGTGCGTCGGCAGAATCGGGCGGCAGTGGCATTGCTGGGTTCGCCGGCTGGGGGTTGTCGGTAGCCTCAGGCAGGTATGATGGCACCGGAGGCGTCGGCTGGGCAGCAGCGTCGATGTCGTCTCCGGCAAGTGCATGGGCGGCTGCTCCATCGTGAACTCGGCGCCATGCCCGCATGGTAGCACCCGCATTTGCCAATAATTTCTTCGGTAACGGTAGGCATGCATCCCAAACCGCTGTGTTCCGTGCTCTCCATAGGTGATATAAAATTGCAGCTGCGTAGATTATTCCATCAGTGTCTAGACTATTTAATAATGCACTAAACCATTCATGAAAAATATTTGTCACAATGTTTGGGAGTGGAAGGTTGGATTGAATCCATATGGAATTTGCATAACCACACAACACTAATGAGTGCATAATGTCCTAATTGATGATCCCACACATGGCGCACATCAGATTAACCTATACTCTCTTTATAAGCAAGTTGTTTGTGGTGGGAAGGATATCACTAATAGCTCTCCATAGAAAAGTTTTCCATTTCGGTGGAATTTTTAGTTTCCATAGAGTGATCCATTTATTGAAAGCACTATTGCCATCATAATTCCCAATAATGAGCCTGTAGCCGTTTTTAACAGTGTAACATCCCTTGGGATCCCCGTGCCAGTACCACATGTCATCATACTCTGGGGAAATCGGTATTTTCAAAATTCTAGGCACATCACTTGGTTGGAAAATATCCGTGAGCAAATGATAGTCGCATGAACCTGTAGCCTGGTCGATTAAACCCATCACTCTAGCACCAGCCAACTGGGGTGGCATCTCTGTCTGAATCCTAGGATCCTAGTCATCCTAGAGCCAGGGGTGTCCCCAGATTAAGGTAGAATTTCCATTCCCAATACGTCGTCTCACTCCACTACAGATTAGGTCTTTAGCCGCCATAATACTTCGCCAACAGTAGCTAGGATTATTTCCTAAAAATGCTTCAGAAAAGGAGTCCTTAGGATAATATCTAGCTCTGTAAACACGAGACACTAATGAGTCAGTGTTGGTAAGAAAGGGACATGCCTGCTTACCTAACAATGCCAAATTAAATGCTCTCAAACTTTTAAAACCCAGACCACCATATTTTTTAGGGATACATAACTTATCACATGCCTTCCAGTGAATACCATGATTAGTTCCTGAGCCCCACCAATAACGAATTTTTTATTCCAAGATCCAATTCTCTGCCTGATCTTATCTTCAATATAAGCAAAAGCTGCTTTCTTATTCCTTCCTACGAAAGATGGCAGTCCCAAATACTTCTCAAAATTAGGAGCCCGAGTCACTCCCAAAATTTGTGCCACTTCCCCTTTGTCTTCCTCACATGTGTTTTTCCTATAACATATACTAGACTTATGATAATTCATCACTTGTCTAGATAAGTTCTCATAAACTGATAAACAATTTTTAATTTTAGTGGCCTCCTGCACATTTGCTTTGAAGAATAACAGACTATCATCAAAACAAAAAATAAATGAGAAATAGGGGGTGCACCTCTAGCAACTCTGCATCCATATATCAACCCCTTACTCTGAGCCCGCTGTAGCAGTAGAGAGAGACCCTCGACGCAAATAATAAATAAGTAGGGGGATAGTGGATCACTCTGTCTTAAGCCACGAGTGGGCGTGATTGATTCACTATGGGAGCCATTAATCAGGAAGCTATATGACATAGTGGACACACATAGCATAATAAGTTCCACCCATCTTTCATCAAAGCCCAGCGCTAAAAGCATACCTCGTAAGAAGGGCCATTCCATACGGTCGTAGGCCTTAGCCATATCTAGTTTGAGCGCACTCCACCCAACAGCCCCACACTGCTTCCTATTCAAATAATGTCCCACTTCTTCCGCTATTAGGATATTACCAGTGATTAACCTTCCAGGTATAAAAGCACTTTGTGACTCAGATATAATATTTTCAATCATAGGTTTCATCCTTTGGGTAATCATTTTAGCCATAACCCTGTAGATCACATTACTCAGAGCTATAGGCCTAAGGTCTAAGACCAACTCAGGGTTATTCTTCTTTAGGATCAGCACCACATCAGTATCATTTAAACCAGAGGGAAAAGAGCGCAAATTCAGACAGTTCACTATAAAACTCGAAATATCCCCCCGCCCCACACTATATCCCAAAAATGTTGGTAGAGACCTGGATTCATACCATCTGGGCCAGGTACTTTATCAGGGAACATTGCAAAGAGGGCATCTTTAACTTCATCAATTTCAAAGGGCCGTAAAAGTGATTCATTTTGTTCCTGGGAAACTCGTGGGACCACATTATCAAACAAAGATTCCCCATTCATAGGATTATTGGTGCAAAAGATGTTCCCAAAATATTCCAGAATAACATTCTTCATATCCTCCCCACAATCATTCATGAGTTTAGATAAAGTATTCTTTTTTTTTTTTTTCTGGTGAGAGGCATACCTGTGGTAGAATTTTGTGTTAACATCAGCATCCTTGAGCCAGTGTTGCTTCGCTCTCTGTCTCCAGTAAACATCCTCCTGGGCTTCCATGCGGGTGAGTGTCTCTTCCAAACGCTGGAATTCGGCAAGAGAGGTAGGATCAGTGCGTCCCCGTAAGTGTAGTTGCTCCCTACGGAGGTTGATAAGTTTCTCACCAAATTTATGATATCGGTCACCTCCCCATTGAGCCAAACGATTTCCACAGTGTATGATACAGCTTGGTGTGCCCTCGTTCCTTCCTTCGTCCCATGATTTAGCCACCACACCCCTACACCCCTCATCATATAGCCATGTCATATCAAAACGGAACCTCCTCCTTCCCACCCTTCCCCTCACCACAAAATCTTGAATTGCTAGGAAAATAGCAAAATGATAAGATGTTCTCGTTAGCAAATTAAACACCCTTGCCCCAATTACAATACCACACAACTCATCAGTAGCAAGTACCTTATCTAGTCTCTTCTCAATCCATCCAGCCGTGCCCTTTCCTTTTTCCCATGTAAACTGATATCCACACATGGGCATTTGAGTCAGCCCACACTGTTCAATAACCTCCCAAAAACCGCGAAGGAGATTATCCGGATGTGGGTTACCCCCACTCTTCTCGTACTGGAACATGAGATCATTAAAGTCACCCACCATAATCCAATGAAGTCCAGACCGCGGTGCCAATGATTTTAGTAATTCCCATGATTCCGTACGCCTGGTGCGTTCCGGGTATCCATAATAACAGGTCATTCGCCAGTTCGCGAAACTATCCATACTGACCTCTACATCAATATGATTCCTCGAGAAACTCATAAGTCTTGCTGTATTATTCTTTATCCACAGTAAAGCTAGTGCACCACTCAAACCAACACGATCAACATAGAAAAGACCATCAAAACCAAGTTTGACATGAAGACACTCAGCATGCGTTCGGTCAACCTTAGTTTCCATAAGAAATACAAAATCAGGCTTCTTACGGGACACAAGGCCCACAACTTCACGAACTGTCCGTGAATTGCCCAAGCCACGACAGTTCTGACGGGCATATTTTACACTCATATTTTAGGTACATCTTTATAATAATTTTGCATTAATTATTTAATATTATTTAATAATTTGTTCTTTTTGGAGTTTAACAATTAATGAACTAAATATTGTACTAAATATATATAAATATATATAATATATAATATATATAATAATTAATATATAAATATATATATATATATATATATATATATATATATATATATATATATATATATATATATATATATATATATATATATATATATGTTACGTACTGTATACTAAATATATATAATATATAATATATAATATATAATATATAATATATATATATATATATATATATATATATATATATATATATATATTATAAATGTAAGTTATGTTGTGGTCCAATCCATTGCAATTGAATTTATTAATCCTAACATTTTATCTCTTTCTTTCCTTTTGAATAAGTAAGCAGCACAACTAACAGAAGAAATCAGACATGCCACAAAAATAGGAGAATAAGTGGTAGAGGTTCATTAGGTTTAATTTAGAAAGTGTATAAATATTATAAGTGTTCTATTGTAAAATGTTCATTCTTCCCCTCTCGATTATTCTTTAAAGTTGTTACCAATGTCCATTCGTGGCTAATTTCTTCTAGCTTGGCTTAGTGAATTGATGCCCCGGAATTGATTATGCTGTAAGATTATTTATTTATTTTTATTATATATGTTTCTATGCATTTGAGTATTAAATATTCTGCTAAAATTATTTGAATAGTTGTATCATTTAATTGCTAGGGAGGCCTACTAGTTATTTATTTGATATAATTATTTGCTATATTAGATAATGTTGTGCTACAAATTATTCTAATATTCAGTAGCAACTGAGGTTAATTATTGACGGCTTAGTGATAATTGGTCTCGGGTAGAATATTTTCCTAAATTAAATGCAACCGCTTGTGCTTGTGTTATTTAGTTTGTCGGTTTTCCTAGTTCCTATTGCTGCTATTAAATTAAATCTATAGCGCTTGTCTTAGATTATTTAGTAGTTAGGGGTAATTAAACCGCTTGTGCTTTATTTACCTACAACTAAGGGAAAACAGAAACGAAATAATTTCACGACAAATATTCAATTGCATATTAATTACCTTATTAATCAATGATCAGTGTTGAATGCCGGTGGTGGATCTTTACTAACCAAGGTCTCCTATTATAAGTGTTTTCGATATATTATTTTCATTGCTCTATTCGTTCAATTAAATTTCTTGTTTATTTAAATTCTCTTTTATTTTATCTTTATTCTCGATATATTCCAAACCCCCCTACCTTTAATTTGAGCACAAAAGTTAAACTAGTCACTCCTCGTGGGATCGATCCTTACTCCCGCTACTACGTTTGTAAGGTTTTAATTTGGAAGCCTACGACAGCTCACCAAATTTTGGCGCCGTTGCCGGGGAGATTTTCTAGCTTATTTTGTGTTTATTTAATTATTTATTTCTTTATTTGTTTATTTGCTTTTCATTTGTCCCAATTTTTTTTTTTTAAATCTTTTCTTTCGTTTCTTTTACATAATTGCTACACTATCTTTAACGGTTTATGCGTATAACTCGATCTGCTAACAAAGAAGTCTTGCCATACAACTCAAAAATTGAAAGAACTGTACGCAGGTGGAGGAAACAAGCTTTGAAGAAATTAGAGTTTAGTGATCTGGCTACCGATTCTACCAATTCTAATTTAGAAGAGAAACCCATGGCCCAAAATCGGACCTTAAAAGAGCTTGGAGCTCCAAATTTAGATCAACAACCATTATGCATCACTTTCCCTGCTCTGGATGCCAATGTACAATTCGAATTAAAATCTGGATTAATTCATCTTTTGCCTTCTTTTCATGGACTTGTAGGTGAAGACCCTCACAAGCACTTGAAGGAATTCCATGTGGTGTGTTCAAGTATGAAACCCACAGGGGTTACTGAAGAACAAATCAAGTTGAGAGCCTTCCCATTTTCTTTGAAAGAGTCAGCGAAGGATTGGCTATATTATTCACCTTCCGGAAGCATCACCACATGGAATAACTTAAAGACACTATTCCTTGAAAAATATTTCCCAGCTTCAAGGGCGGCCAATATTAGAAAGGAAATCTGTGGTATAAGGCAAAGCAATGGAGAGTCTTTGTATGAATATTGGGAGCGTTTCAAGAAACTTTGTGCAAGTTGCCCACATCATCAAATCAGTGATCAATTACTCATCCAGTACTTTTATGAAGGACTCTTTCCAATGGATAGAAGCATGATTGATGCTGCAAGCGGTGGTGCTTTAGTTGACAAGACACCAGACGCCGCAAGAACTCTAATTGCAAACATGGCTGCGAATTCTCAACAGTTTGGCAATAGACTTGTCCAACCGTCTAAGCAAGTGAATGAGGTAAATATTTCTGCTCTTGAACAACAAATTACTAGTTTAACTACTCTTGTTCGTCAATTAGCAGTAGGCAATATGCAAACTGTAAAAGCATGTGGAATTTGCTCGGTAGTTGGGCACCAAACTGATGCCTGCCCAACTCTTCAAGAAGTCGAACAAGTCAACATGGCTGGAGGTTTTCCTGGACAACCTCAAGGTAAGTATGATCCATTTTCTAATAAATATAATCCTGGATGGAGGGATCACCCGAACCTTAGCTATGGGAACTCACAAGGGAACCAGTTTGTTCAGAATTATCCCAATTCTCAGCAGTATAGAGAACCATTTCCTTCAAGACAACAACCAGTCCAAAGCTCTAGCTCAGGTATGAATCTAGAAGATATTGTTAAATCTCTTGCTACTAACACTTTGCAGTTTCAACAAGAAACACAACTATTCCAACAGGAGACAAGGGCTAGTATTCAAGAAACAAAGGCTAGTATTCAAAACTTAGAAAGGCAAGTTGGCCAACTAGCAACTACGGTAAGTCGGTTGGAAGCACAGAGTTCTGGCAAATTACCCTCTCAAACGATCGTTAATCCTAAAGAGAATGTAAGTGCAATTACTGTGAGTAGTATGTCGCTGGAAAAGAACGTCGATCTAAACAAGGGAATAAGTGCAGGGATCATTGTCAATAATAAAGAGACGTCCGAAGGTAAGCTTTCTTCTTTTTCTGATTATGAACCAGTACCCCCATTTCCTCAAGCTCTTTTAGAACCAATAAGAGGAAAATCGAATAATGATATGTATGAAACATTTCGTGAGTGTGAGGCTAATAAACCACTTTTAGATTCTATGGAAAAAGTACCTCGCTATGCTAATTTTCTAAACGAGGTACGCACTATGAAAAAGAAACGAAATAATGAAAGAATTGAGGAAGTGAAAGTGCAAGAAAATGTCTCTACGACTAGTCAAAGCAATCTTCCTGAAAAGTGCAAAGACCCAGGTATGTTTACTATTCCATGCATGATAAGTGGTGTGACACTTGAAAATGCTATGTTAGATTTAGGAGCTTCTATTAATGTGATGCCATATTCTGTTTATAATTCGTTAAATCTTGGACCCCTGAGTAAATCTAGTATAGTAATTCAATTGGCTGATGGATCTACTACATATCCTAGGGGTGTGATTGAGGATTTGCTTGTTGAAGTTAATAACTTGGTTTTTCCTGCTGATTTTTATGTACTGGATATGGAAAATGATAATAAAATTTCTCATATTTTGTTAGGAAGACCATTCTTAAAAACTGCAGAAACTAAAATCGATATTCATAGTGGTATGCTTACAATGGAGTCTAATGGTAAACTTGTGGCTTTTAATATATATGATACCATGAAATCTCCTAGTGATGATAATTTTGCAATTTTTGTTGATTCTTTGAAGTTTGTTACATTTGATGAAATTGCTTCTAATGAAAATAAAGAAGAAAAAAATAATAAATCATCTTTGAGTCCTAATCTGCATGAAGGGGCTATTTTTTTGAATAATCATAATCATCGAAGGTACTCAAAAAGGCGATGGAAATTTAAAGAAATATCATAAGTCGAGCCAACAACGATAAACAAAGGTGCTGCTTGGGAGGCAACCTAAGGTGTGTTTGTTCCATTTTTATTTTATTTTATTTTATTCCCTTTTTCTGCATGTTTTTATTCAACATTGGGGACAATGTTGGTAATAAGTGTGGGGGAGGAGATTTAGTTTTATTATTTGTTTGCTTAATTTAGTTTTATTGTTTGTTTGCTTAATTTAGTTTTATTGTTTGTTTGCTTATGTCAAAAAAAAATTTATTATTATTTGTTTTCTTATTTCATAATTTTCAAAAAAAAAATATTTTACTATTATTTTATGCAAAATAAGTATTATTTTGAAAAATTATTTTTTTTTCCTTTCTTGGAATTCATGACATGATTGAATAAATAGTTTGGAAAATTGTGATTAGTTTGTTAGCATTTCCTGTTTGATATGTAGTTGCTATATTAAGTAAGCAATAAACCTGTGAGATTTTGAGCCATTGACCGACACTTCGGTCTTAATTTCTTTCTATTGTGTGATTTCTTCCATAATTTTGTTTCTCTAGAACTTGCCTTGATTCTCTTTTAAAGCTAATTAGACCATGCATGATTCAAGTGTGATTAAGGCCATTATTTGATTTTGAGCCTCACTAGCCAAATAACCGGTTTGTCCTATGATTTATTTCCCTTTGTTAACCATTTTGAGCTTTATGGCCATTCCTTTCTTTACTTTGAACCACATTACAAGCCTTTTATATCTAAAAATAATGCATTCACCCAGCTGAATAACTAGTGGAGCAAATTTTGGATTATTCTTGTAATCTACGTGAGTTTGTCAAAAATAAGTGTGGACGAGACCATTTGTTTTGAAAGTGAGGCGGGTTGTATCTTCATTGTCAATTTGTCGTTAGTCTTCGAAAAAAATGAAGGCAGTTCATCATTTAAAAAAAAAGTATGGAAAATTGAAAAAAATGAAATGAAAAAATGGAGAATATATGTTTGAAAAAGAAAAATATTGCTGAAAATTTATGAGAAAATGAGAAAGAATCAGCAATTGATTTTGAGTTGAAGTTACTTCTAAATAAATGAAGTAAGGGGAAATTCTGGTAATACTGAGGAAGCATTCTATACTTTTGAGAATGATAGTCATATTGGAGCCTCAATAGGAAATGCTTTGAGTGAAAAATTGAGGCTGTTGAGCAAGTATCTTGGATTATTTGCTTATATTTTGCTCCTCTAGTTTGAAAGTTATATTTGAGCTACTTTCCTAAATATTTCCTACCTTAACCCTAGCCCCATTACAACCTGTGAAAAGTCCTTATGATTTGTGTCATGCATGACTCTTGTAGTGGTGATTGAGAAGATATGCAAGCCTATGGTAGAGCAATTTTATAGGAATGAACTTGAGTGAAATTTATACCCATCAAACACTTGAGTGATGAGTAGTGATGACTGCTATTAAATTAAATCTATAGCGCTTGTCTTAGATTATTTAGTAGTTAGAGGTAATTAAACCGCTTGTGCTTTATTTACCTACAACTAAGGGAAAACAGAAACGAAATAATTTCACGACAAATATTCAATTGCATATTAATTACCTTATTAATCAATGATCAGTGTTGAATGCCGGTGGTGGATCTTTACTAACCAAGGTCTCCTATTATAAGTGTTTTCGATATATTATTTTCATTGCTCTATTCGTTCAATTAAATTTCTTGTTTATTTAAATTCTCTTTTATTTTATCTTTATTCTCGATATATTCCAAACCCCCCTACCTTTAATTTGAGCATAAAAGTTAAACTAGTCACTCCTCGTGGGATCGATCCTTACTCCCGCTACTACGTTTGTAAGGTTTTAATTTAGAAGCCTACGACAGCTCACCAAGTTCCAGCTTAGAGTACTCATGATGATGGGCGGGTCCGGGAACCAGAACCCGCCAATGACAAGTTTTTTGACACTTCGGCCATTTGAGTATCACCATCATTACCGCCATTCCCTCCACCACCGCCAATCGAGACCTCCCTTCTCCACTTCGAAGCCGCCACCACAGTATCACTCCCCTTCCCACCTGTTACCGCCGTTGTTACACCGCCGGTAGAAGGGCCCTCCGACGTCGCGACAGCTACGACAGTCAAACTTTGGACCGGTTTCCCTTCCTTGTCAAGCAACCACGGTGCACCCACTTATCGCGGTCCCCGTTTTAGTCCCGCCCGCATATCATCACTGAATGAATACTGGTCAACAGGTATAACTGCATTACGTGCTTTCAAATAGTACCTATGCGGGTGTCCCAACATTCCACAGAAGAAGCAGAAATTATGCAGTCTCTCATACTTGAACTTTACACAGCAAGTCATTTTGTCCCGTTTAAGAAGTTTCATGCCTCGCTTTAGCGGTTTCAGTACAGGTATTGAAACCCTGATACAGTAAAACGTCTTCCATAGCGCATCCGAGAACCTATCATCAATCTTAACAAACGTTCCCAGAAATTTCCAATTTGTTCTAGTATGATATCCGAAGTATACCCAAGCGGGAGATCATGAAGCTGTACCCACATATCACTAGTGTCCAGCGGGATCGACACCGGTATGGCACCATCCTCAACTTGCTTACAAACGAGAGTATGGTTCTCGAATGACCACGAACCACCATCAAGAACTAGCTGCATGTCCATCTCGTGATAGAACACAAATAAGAAAAGACCCGGTTGTATCTCCGCTACCTGTACCCCCATCACTGGCTGCCATACCGAGGCTATCACTTGACTCATAAACTCCAGCTTTATAATTTTGGTTGTCAAGAATCGTCCCACTAGCCGCCATGTCGGTTTTGTCGTTGTAGCTTCCACGTCGTTTGCCGTCTCGTTCGGCTCGAAGACGGCGTCCTCATCGTCAATCACCATGTCCGCCCACCGCGTGGTGAGCCCCGTCACCGCACCTGCTGTTATCATTGCGTCCATTCGTATAGTGAGAGAGAGACCGGTTGTCCACCGGAGAGAGCTGCCGGAATTGTGTGAGAGTCATCAGCCGTGCGAGGAGGGAAGACCGAAATCCTAGAAGAAACTTAGAGAGAAAATTTAGTTATTATCCAACAATGCCCTTTTTATTCTCTCAAATACCTCATTCGAAGCATTCCCCTTTTTTATTATCCAACAAGTACATATCAAAAGAGCAAGGTTACCATTATCAACATAGAAGTACAGTTACCATAATTGAAACGCATGCAAATGTTCGAATCTTGTGGAGGAGATCATAAGAATACGTCCAACAACTGTCTAAGATAGTAATTCACTTTATAACAATGTACCTCTGATCTCTATCTTTCACCTAAACATAACTATTACTTTGGAACCTTTGGTTCTCTATTCATCCAATACAAATGTACGTCCAATTATTGTATTCTACATCTCATAATTTACCTCTCAACTGTTACAACAATTTAATTTTAATAATCAAATTTTTAATGCATTTATTTTTAAAATTTTTAATATAATATTATTATTTAGTTTTAAAAATCTAATTCTTGAAATCTTTTTGGCATCATACTCGAAAAGAATATGTATATATAGGGATGGTTCACGTGCGAAGAAACTCCCAAGTGAAAAATGAGATGAGATGTGAGTCGTTAATCTAATCTAGATCAACGACTCAAAATGAAGGAAATTTTTTTTTTAAAAAAAAATCGTGCTTCCTAGATAACTCTTCATTTAGGCACTGTACAGTGTAAACTTATGCACATTGCAATGCAAACTTAATTATGTATCTTACAGTGCAAAGATAACATTTTAAAGTTATGCACCCAAGACTTATGCACCTTAAATTATAAAGTTATGCGTCCAACGAAGGAAAATAATGCACCCAAAGAAAAAAAGAAGTAAGTATTCAATAGAATATAATATAAACCATGCACTCGAAGAGTGAACAATTTGCAGCCAAAGAAGGAACAATATGCACCCAACGAACGAAGGAATATAATGCACCAAAAAAAAGTAAATATTCACTAAAAGATAAACCATGCACTCGAAGAAGGAACAATATGCACCCAACGAAGGAAAATGCATCCAAATTAAAGGTGAAAACTTATGCACCTTACAAAGCAAACTCGAACTCCCCCTCTCTCTCCCTCTCTCTCTCTCTCTCTCTCTCTCTCTCTCTCACACACACACACACACACAAATATATATTGAATACTATCGACTCTGTTACAAGGTAGTATATGTTCATATGTATACTTTCTTTATTTATTGTAGCCCAAAGAGTCAATACCTTATCACCGATGGAGAAGTCATACTCGCGAGTCGTTGAGCTGCGGGCTCCGGGCCCAACCGCAACGGGAGCAGACTTCCCGGGTCGAGCGATCGGGAGAGACCAATGGTCGAGCTCCGAACTCATATCGTGACGAGGTCGAGCAACTCCGGAGGCGGATAGACAAGCTCTATAAAAAGGTTGACGAAAAGGACAAGTCCCCAGAGCCCCTGGACGTGTTTTTCACCCCATTCGCGTCGGCCATCATGGAAGAGCCCCTCCCCAAGGCGTACTCGGGGACGACGGACCCGCGGGCGCACCTCACCAGGTATCAGGTCGCTATGTTGATGACCAGCGCCAGTGATGCCATCATGTGCTGGGGTTTCTTCTCGACCCTGGATGGCTAAGCATAGGACTGGTTCGGGTCCTTTCCAGAGGGGTCCATCTCCACCTTTTCGATCCTCACGAAGGGTTTCTTGTCATATTTCGCAAGCAGTATGCAGAAGAAGAAACAGATTGCCGACCTATGCTAGTATACTACCTGAAGCAGAGGAACTCGGAGTCCCTAACCGAGTTCCTTAGCAAGTAGAAGAAGGAGGTGAAGGGGGTCGCCAATTTTGACGACAAGTCGGCCATACCGATTTTCACCAACAACTTGAGATCTGACGCCTTTACCTAAAACCTCATCTAGTACCCTCCCAAAACCTACATTGAGCTAATGGACCAAGCGTCAAGATTTGTAGACACAGAAGTAGTAGAGAGGAGGAAGGAGGTGGGGAGGGGTCAGAAAGACAAGGCACCCCAAGAGGAACACCAATATCCTAGGCCACCACGACGGGAGTATGTCGAGGGGCCTAGGTTAACCCCATGCATTTCCTCATCCCGTTGACGCAGCCCGTCAGCACCATTCTCGACCACGCGGAGGACTGGGGGATTGTGGAGTACCCAGGAAAGTTCAAGAAGATATCATTGAAGGTAGACCCCAACAAGTATTGCAGGTTCCACCGACAGACGGGGCACGACACAGACGAGTGCATACTCCTCAAACGCCAGATTGAGGAGCTCATTCAAAGGCGCTACCTGGGACAGTTCGTGAAGAGACCAAGATAGGGCCAGGGCTAGGGTCAGAGCAACGTGTAGGAAAAGGGGGATGGCTCCGTGCCATCCACCTCGACACCACGCAAGAGGGAGCTCGACCAACTCACCGAGGAAGAGGAGGAGGAGGTAGACAACCACCTCCCTAGAAGAAACAAGTAATCCATGTCACCTTTTGGGGGCCGGGGGGGGGGGGGGGGGGGGGGGACATGCCCTCAGAGACGTCTTGGTGATCAAGGTAGAAATTAGTGATGTGATCATGCACCAGGTGCTAGTAGACACATGCAGCTTGGTGAATGTCATGTACTACGACACCTTCACACAGCTGGGGCTCCCAATGAAGTAATTGGGGCAAGTAAGGACCACCCTTATCCGGGTTCATGGGGGACTCCATCGAGATGGAAGGATCAATCAACCACGAAGTAGAGATAGGCACCTCGCCCCATGTCAAGAGGTGGGAGGTCGAATTCGTGGTGGTCAAAATCACCCAAGACTTATGCACCTTAAATTCTAAAGTTATGCGTCCAACGAAGGAAAATAATGCACCCAAAGAAAAAATGAAGTAAGTATTCAATAGAATATAATATAAACCATGCACTCGAAGAATGAACAATTTGCACCCAAAGAATGAACAATATGCACCCAACGAACGAAGGAAAATAATGCACCAAAAAAAAGTAAATATTCACTAGAAGATAAACCATGCACTCGAAGAAGGAATAATATGCACCCTACGAAGGAAAATGCATCCAAATTAAAGGTGCAAACTTATGCACCTTACCGAGCAAACTCGAACTCCCCCTCTCTCTCTCACACACACACACACACACACAGAGATATATATTGAGTACTATCGACTCTGTTACAATGTAGTATATGTTCATATATATACTTTCTTTATCTATTGTAGCCCAACGAGTCAATACCTTACCACCGAGGTTTGATCCTTTGACCTTTCCTGAGAAGAGTCGTCAATTGAACACAAGGGCTCGGCCTTATATATATATATATATATATATATATATATATATATATATATATATATATATATATATATATATATATATATATATATATATATATAAGAATATTAATAAAATAATAATATAATGTAATGTAAAATGTGAAATATGAAAACTTGAATATAAATAAAAGAATAATTTAATGATACGATCCTTTCAATTTACCTGATAATTGCTCATTCATTATTCAGAAATAGTGTTTGATTTACTTTAAATGTTCATAGTCATTCTCTTAGAACACAAGTTTAGAAGGATTAAAATTACCATTTTCTTTTCCTTTCAAAAAAACTAAAATTACCATTTTCTTAGCATGCCATTTCCGTAAAAAGAATGACAAGCACGCTGCTTATATTTCTTTATGTCTTCAACTTTTTCTTGTATTGCGCGCATTCATTCATTGCGAACACATTGCATCCAAATCAAACAGACAAACACGTTTACAACACTTTCAAATTGTAGTTTGATTTTTTTTTTTTTTTTTTTTTTCACTTTTTTACAATGCTTTATAATGTGGAATGGTTGACTGAAAAATTTTGTTATTTATTTATCTTTTTCCCTTTTAAATTGACTATATTCAGGGGGTGGGGCCTGAGGGGGGCAATGGGGCAGTTGCCCCCCTCCCCCACTCCACACCATTATATATGTAAGAGTTAATTTTATATTTAATTCTTTGATTATTACTTATTTTTATTTTTAGTTATTTACTTTTAAAATATTGAATCATTTTTAATAATAAGAGAAAATTGTAAAAAATGCCCCTCTATAATATGCCAATTATCAATGTCATCCCTGAATTATGAGTGGTGTAAATATTGCCCCTCAATTATCAAAACGGTGCACATATAGCCCCTCCCGTAACGGACATGTGGTTCCTCGTTAGTGTACGACACCGTTAATTCGAAGTAAATATGTAATTTAGTTGTTTTTTCCCTCCCTCGATTCAAAGTACCAGCGATGGACAGCGGTGGGTAACCACAGGTCCGTTACGGGAGGGGCTATATGTGCGCCATTTTGATAATTGAGGGGCAACATTTACACCACTCATAATTCAAGAGTGACATTGATAATTGGCATATTATAGGGGGCATTTTTTATGATTTTCCCTAATAATAATTTGATATAAACTTTTTCATGTATGAACTGATAACATTGATGTGAAATTAAGAATTGTAGAATAAGAAAATTATGATTTTATTTTTCGCATGTGAGAAACAATTGATTCAATGACAATGCTTTTCACATTTATCCTCAATGTTAACTATCCAAACATGGAAAAGCTGATGGATTACAATTGGAAATGATTCAATACTTGAAGAGTCAATTTGATAACTTTAAAAGTTAAGAACTAAAATTAGAAATGAGTTTAGAGGACTAAATCCAAAGTTAACTCTTCTTCTCCCAAAAGATTGAATCCATAACCCCAAGACCCCCACACCCCGGCTTGATAGAGCATTTGAGAGAATTTCGGTGCGCACAAGTGATCTGTCCACTTTGAACATAATACATATATTGCTGCTGTCGAGATTCAAACCTTAGTCTCT